TTCTTCGGCTGGGTCAGCAGGTTGATCAGGGAGCACTGTTCTGAGAAATCCTCCTGAAAACTGACTTCAAGCAACTAGACCAAAAAGGGTTTTCTTGTCAGGAGGACTAGAAGCTGAAGTGTTCCTTTGTAACTGGAGCCTTCTCAGTCAGTGCTCTATCTAGTGAAAAACAGATCTCACTCAAAACCCACTGACCAGTTCACTGCTTTTTGTGGCAAGCAGCAGCTTTGGATGACTTCCGTGATAACTAGCAGCACTTTCACATTTACATAGGGCCACATTATAGCCAAGTAATGCGAATTTGCTTACTCAGCGTTCTGATCTTTATCTAGTCAGCTTTCAAAGATTTAGTGCCCTAGAGTTATGGCACCAAGTAATCTGTAAATGGCAGCAAGTAACAAGCTTGAAACATATTCAACACTGATATTAATTATACAGCTCCTTGGCTGTATAAAATATCCACTGTTTGTCTTGTTTAGTCTTTTTCTGTTGTTTGATACCCACAGGGCTGAGCTTTTTTAGTCTGCAGAATTTATACCTCTGCAGATACTGCCCTTAATTACTGAAGTGTGTGTGTGTATTGGGATTTCTGGATTCACGAACATGAGCATTTCATCACACAGACTTGATTCTCCCTGTGCTCACAGGTCCAGAATTTGGAGGGCAGAAGAACTGCATTTATATCAGTATGGTAACTGAGGATCTGGATGTGTCCGAGTTAGTAGAAACTATTGCAGCAACAGGCAGAGAAATTGAAGAAAATTCAAGAGTATGTATTAATTCATCACAGAGCATTTCAGTACCTTTTTTTCTTCCCCTACATATTGGCTTCAGGACATGGTTTTGTTCTTTGTGAAAGTAAAAATTGTACTTGTCTGCAACCGTGTTAGTTACTGTGGAAGTAATAATCTGTGTCCACATAAGGAGAACTCCTGTTACAGGTCTGTGATATTCTCAGGATGTCCTGATTTATGTTCATTGTCCTGTGTTCAGCAGTGCTAATGAAAAACTTTACTAGTACCAAAATAGGTTCATTTTATCACTAAAATTTCAACTCTCAAAAAACCCAACCCAAAACTACCAAAGGGTGGGGGCTGAACATGAGCTGGTGGTTCAAATCACTGCTAGATGTAGTGGAACTGAGATAGTTTATATACCAGCTTTAAGATAAGACTGACCTAAAACGTATTTAAATTGGTTGCTTAAAACCAGAAATGATAAATTACCAGTTGAGGTAATAGAGCTGATAATGCAATTCTTTTTTTTAAAAGCCTTTACTTGATTAGAGTTCTACAAATGTTCTCTCAAGTAGAATTCCTAAATGACCTGCATCAGAAATGAGTGTCTGTCCTTTCATTCCTCTCGTGTTGGGTGTTTTAATTTCCTCACCTGAAAAATAAATGGAACTTTAGAAATCCTGTGTCTGTTTTTGCCCATGGGAATATGTTTGGTTTTGGCAATTAAATTTTTTCTAGCATTGTTTTGTGGAGACTTTCTGCCCACTCTTGACTCCCTCCCCTCCATTGAGGGTGAGATGAAAGATGGTTGGTTGGATTTGATGATCTTAGAGTTATTTTCCAACCATTATCATTCTATGATTCTGTGATTCTATGGTCTGTTTTTTAACTGTTGTGGTTGAGACTTCAGGAACCACATGTTGGAATATGGGCCACAATGATTGTGATGCTTCTAGGGAGGAGTAGAGAGTAGTGGAGGACTCAGAAAGGTGCGTTCTTTGGGACCAGTCACAGTAAGTCTGTGATACTGAAAGGATCTTATACTGATTGATCCAAAACTGAGAAGTGGAACCAATCTGTGAAAATAACACTTGCATCATTTAGATGAGTGATGCTTGATACAGGAGGGAAGCTTTTAGAAAAAAAACTATTCCAGTATCAGCAAGCCTTAGGACATACAGATAAGGATGCTAAAAGGCAGAACCAAAATTTAAGACAAACATCTTGATTGGGCCAGAAAACACAGTTTGTTTTGTTTTTTCTTTTCCCCTGTGCTCTAAATGCAGTCCTGTTGCACTCCCTTCTGGACTCAGTACCCTGGGGTGCGTAGCTTGCTGTGCTGGTCAGTCCCTGGCCTGCCTCACCCCCAGGGAAAACGAGCAGCTCCATCTTTTGCCTTTATTAACTGACAGTAACTAAAATTTTTTACATTTTTGAGGAAGCGCCTGTCACCTAGACCTTGTAGAATATCAAACCCCATATTAAGTTATGGAAATTGGCCTTCGTCTTGCACAAGACACAACTGTGGCTTTGTTTGTGGGTCTCCTGGGTTTGTTCATTTATTGCCCCTACAGCTCTCCGAGGAAGCTGCTTGTCTCTTGCAGTCTCAGACATCACTGATGTTGATGTAGGATGCCACAGGGATCAGATTGGCAGTGTTGTACCTGACATGTTCCTGGTTAGGCTTACTGTAAGGCTGGTTCAAGTCCTGGGTACTTCCAGAAACCAAAATGTGCTCTCTAAACCTAAAAATTCTGCCCAGTGTGATTCAGCTGACTGAAGAGTCATAATTCATCAATACCGCTAAGCAGACCTTTGAAAAATTTGGGTCACAAAGTGATTTCTAAGTAAAAGAAAAGTATGTACCATTCCTGTTCAAAGTGACGTTCTGTCCTCTGGGTGTATCTTTTAAAAATCTTGAGGTCAGCTGGTGCATTTTCTAATGATATAGTGATTGTCAGATCAAATACTGTTTTAAATTAGAAAAACACCTGACTACCGTGTTTACATCCTCAAAACCTGAACTAAAAAGGCAATTCCAAGTCCAAATAATATATATAACAATGTAATTTTTGGGTTTTATTAGCTGCTGGAAAACATGACTGAGGTTGTTAGAAAAGGGATACAGGAAGCACAGCTGCAGCTTCAGAAGGCCAATGAGGAACGGCTCCTGGAAGAGGTGAGGTGCCGTAACGGTCGCTGCTCTCCGTGCCTGCAGTGGCCTTCCCCGCGCCAGTGCTGTGCTCACCCGCGGCCTTCGTGCTCTTTGCAGGGACTGCTGCGGCAAATACCCGTAGTAGGCTCGGTGCTGAACTGGTTCTCTCCGTTCCAAGCCTCGCCAAAGGGAAGAACATTCAATTTAACAGCAGGTAGGACTCCCTGCATCTGCAACTGTGGTATGCTGCTCTTAGAACTGTTTCAAAGTTTATACTGAAATTGCAACACACTTTCTTGTAGCTGATTTGATCGTGAGTGACATAAATCCACCCTCAGGATGTAAAAGAACGTGCTCTTCACTACTTCTGTAACACCCAGTAAGACAATCTTCTAACCTCACTAGTACAGCTTACGTTTTGTTCTTGTGCAGTGAGTCACATTAAAAAAGCTGCATTAGACATTGGCACGTATTAGTGGAGGAATCAGTTCTGTGGCTTTTTGCTGCACATGCTGCAGAAGTTTGGCCTTTCTGCTGCACTTATCAATACATAAGCTAGCAGGGTAGCTCAGGTCTTGGAACCTTGCTTCCCCATGTCCGTGCACATGTATCCCCTAGACAGTGCTTGCAAAGGGCACTAACTTTGTGCTATATGCAACTTGGTGCTTTTTTCCTTATAACCTGCAGGCTCTCTAGAATCCACAGAATCTACGTATGTATCAAAAGCCCAAGGAACAGGCACTACTCCACCACCAACTCCTACTTCCAGCCTTGCAAAGCAAAGACTTCCTGGTAAGTTTCTATGTCTTATTTCTTAAACTTGCTAAAACATCCTGCCATCTGTCACAGGATGACCCACATGGTTGTCCACTTTTCATAATACAAGCAACTAGTGCCTTAAGTCCTCCTCAAAAATCTTAAATTACATGGCACAGAACACCACTGAAATTGTTTTCTCCCCAAGAATTCTTCTTAGCACTACAGGGAGTTGTTATCCCATTAACTGACAAGCCATGAAGTTGGGAATTTTCCTCTGGAATATTATGAGACTATTGAGATTTTTAAAATTATCAGGTAAACAAATCAAAATCTTTACTTGAAATAAAAGCATAAAAAATTTAAAGTCATGTATTTGAAGAACTGCATTTCTATTGCTACCTAATTTTTTGTGGACAAAGTTAGTCTAAAGTGAAGATCTGTTCAATTTGTGGCACTTCCTATGTAGTTGTGTTTGTAATTAATGTGGATTTGACTGGCAGGAAAACCATAGTTTTAACTCACCTTTTGAGTTGGTTGGCTTCCAGCCTGTGACTTTCAAGGCAAGTTTTTACCCTAGAATACTTCAGTGTATGGAGGCAGCTTGGGTTTCAGGTGAATTTTAACAGTCTCTGTGTACACAGGATAAAATAATGGGTGCTGTTGCCCTGCATGCTTGTTGGTAACTGCAAGAACACAGGCCTACATTTAGGGTACAAGTAAATAAAATCTTATTTCTTTGCAGTTGTAAAATCAGATACTGTCTTTGAAACTTAACTTGTGCATACCACATTTTGTATTTGCTGTGTTGACTGATTCTTCAACCACTTCACAGGTCAGAAAATTTTTAAAAGGTCTCTGAGAAGTTCTGATGCATTCAGTGAGACCAGTTCAGTCAGCCACTGTGATGACCTGGAGAGGACGGATCAGAGATCCCCAGCTCTGTCCCCTGGCCAAGAGCAAGGACCTCTAGGGACAGAAAAAACAGAGGAGCAGAAGGAGGTGGTACAGGCAGCAAAGACAGACACTGAGGACATTCAGAATGACAAGTCACCACATGACTGCACAAAGGTAGAGAAACAAGAAAGTCAAAGATAGAATCCAGACTGTGGATTTTAGACATGCCCTGGGAGGCAGGGTATTAATGATGCATTTAAAATGTGAACAGTGCCACACACTAGTACAGTAATAACTACTGTAACTTATTAACTGAGATTTTGCACAAATACAAATTCCCCCCGTGGGACAGAGATTTGTCTTATCGTACGCTTGTTACGGTTCTTCAGTCCTCTACATGTCAGTGTCACCAAAGTACTAGTGAAATTTATGAAGTGCTCATAAACATTTGTGAAAAGAATTGGCAGTTATCCTTCCTGTAGGAAAGTAAGCATGGTAATAGCTGCCTACTAACTGATCAACCAAACACAAGATTAACAATGCAGTTACACCCAATAATTGTAAAAGTATCTTTTATGTTAATACATGTCAAAAAAAAATAAACTGCCAATTGTTCACCTTTTTAATACTTAAAATTCCGTTGAGCCTCTCCTGCAAAACATCTACTGAAGCCACACTAGGTGTTTTGCTTTTTTTTACCTTACAAAGAACATTGCCAAACAGTTGTGGTGCGGTGAGCGTTAGGGACGGATGCCTGTGTACATAGGAGTCACTGAATCGTACTTAGCCACCAGCCATGTTTCCCTGCTGCTGCTATGACCTGACCCATTCAGCTGAGGCTCTTGGCAGGGCGGGGACACAGGCCATGAGATTTTGGTGTTTTAGACAGGCATAGTGCCTCTGCATGCCCGAACGGCTTCTCGCCTCTGCCACGGGAGAGAATCACCAACGCACCCTTATCTTCCCTCGCACGGCATTTATAAACCAAATACTATTGAACACATTCATCTAGTGTAACTGGACTTACTTCTCTTGTGTATTTTTAAAGATAGTTATAGTAAAGCTTGAAAAACCAAGACATTTGTGATGGTTTCCACACTTATTTTTTGAATAACAGTAACTTACCTATGGCAGGAATTGTACAGGCGCAAAGAAATGCTATCAGTTATTCACACTACCGTGCAACTTCATAGTGTCTAGGACTACTTACTGCACAAGCAAAGCTCTGGATATATCAAAAGCTAAGGTGTAGGAGTCTTCCCCCCCTTGAATATTCTTAATCACTTTTCTACAAATTTTCCGAGCCTCTTGGCCACTGTTGGAAAAGCTGGTTCCCCAGGGTGTCGGACCGTGCGGGAAACCATCCCGTCCCTAGAAAACTGGATGCAAGCACTGTAGTTTGTTTCATCTCTTCTTTGTTTAGGTATGCCTTTTTTCCTCCCCCCTAAAAGATATAAATTAACACTATAATGTCTGTAGTGGTAGCAGGACTTACTTGATAATCAGGAAAAATTTATTTTTTTTTTTTTTTCGTAATTGTCACCTGATTTGACTTTCAGCTTGTAGAGCCTGTGGGGCTGGGACGCCATGGACAAGGTTAATTTTGCTGTTGGGGTAACTTATGTAATTCAGAGTGCAATTTTTTCTAAAGTGCAAAAAATTAAGTTGACTAGTCTTCCTTATTGGTTTCTTTGGTGCAATGAAGTATGTTAATAAGAGTAATTTGGTGGGGATAAAGTTATCACCACAAAGATTAATTTTTAATGTTTTTATATTTGGAAGTGTTAAACTAGGAGTTTTGTTGGAATGAGCTTCATTCTTTAGATACTCTCTGAATGTTTCAATAAAGATTCTTCAAATTCTCATGCTTAAGTTAACTTATTGTTGAAGGATACTTCCCTATGTTTCTGTGTGCAACTTTCTCGCACCGTGTGGAAAATCACTTCCTGAAGCACACACCAGTGTAATGACTTCCCTTTGGCACAGGTAGAGAGGGAGCAGTGCTGACAGACAATCAAATTGCTGCATCAGAACATAAACAGAGCCAGACTGTTCCTTCAAAGTAGCAGTCATTCCTACGTAAGTAATGCAGAAAAAGCAAGTTACTTCTGTCAAAATATTTTATTTTGAAAAGCACGGGAACAATGGCATTTGTCACCAGCAGTATGCTTTTTACAACCAATAAAAAAGTCCAGTTGTCTTGCAAGACTAGACTTCCCTAAAGCAGCCATGGTGTTTGGTTCCAGGTTAGATCTTGTTAGAACAAACCTGTTCCCACAGCCCTTCTTCATTTTTTTTGTAGATGCGAGGTTTCCTGTCAGGAAACAGGGAGCGAGACGGAAACGGATGCTCTTTTAAAAATGTTAATGTGGATCTAATGTGGGAAACAAAGTGGGGTGGTTCAGCCAGGGGCGATGTGGAAAGATTCTGAAAAACAAGATAGTAGCAAGAGCTGCTTGACATTCAGAATACAAAGTTCTAAATTATTCTGCCTGTTAATAAGATTATTTAACCACCCTCCCCAGCAGTGCTCCTATAAAAGCTTTGACAGACCATACCCCTCTCTACTCAGCTACAAGGGGGGGAGAAGGGGAGGGGGGGGAAGTTCCAGTACCTGTAAAATCTGTTGATCATCTTGTTCCAGCCAGAAGTCGACATGTGGGAAAGGCCTCCAGAAATAGGGCCCGATATGTAGCTGTTCCGTCTTAGCATCATAGATGTTAGTCAGCTGTAACAACATGGGAGCCTTAACAGTTAGCCGAGGTTCACAGATGAAAGAGATGGCAAATTCACAGAAGCCAGAAGGCCTTAACCTGCAGCTTTTGTCTTGGACAGAAGCTCAGGCCCACTCCGTTCCCACTGCATTAAGGTTAATGAATTATTCTGACAAACAAGACGTTAAATTGTAACAACAAACCCAGAACTGAAAGATACCGCTGGTAGTACACCCCTGAGCTGACTCTCTTCTCCTGAGTCATCCTGCTGAAAGCTGCAGGGCTAATCCTAGTGGCACCTGAAGAGAGCTGGACTTGTGACTGGGCAGGAAGTGGTTTCATCTCCACTATTACCCTTTGCCCTCAAAGTATTTTCTTCCTGAAACTTTTGACATTTCATTGCCTCTAACTGGTCTCCCTTTCTGGCAAAAATACTATTTATTTATTTCCCTGTTATTTTTACTCACTGTTGCTCCTGTTAAAACATGGGCTGAACGCAAATCCTCATCCGGCCCTTTTTCTGGGAAGGTTGCAGGGAAGATCTCTGCTGTTTTAACATTCACAGCTGCTAGGAAGTAGAGTTTAAATACAGAAATATTTAATTCTTACAGAACACTTGCTTAAAATGACCATGTCCCCAACACGACTACATGCAGAACTTCAGAGCCCATCATATACTCTTCTTCTATTTTTCAGCACCACAGAGTCCTGAGCCTGCAATAGCACATTTCTACTTATTTTGCTTTGGCAGCAGTTCTGTATTGCAGAAGAACAGTTTCAGAGATGCTTAAACTAATTAGAGAAAGCACAGAATGCATCGTGAAAAGAAGGTTGAGTTCTACCCCCAGAGGTTAGTACAGTAGCTCTGTACAATCATAAGTAGAGTTAAATGAAAAAGTCTGCTTGCATTTGTACACAGCCAGTGCCACATGTCCACCTACCCAAGAAAAATCATATTTCTACCTCTGCTTCCAACAGCAGCACATAACTTTTAGGACAGGCTTTACCAGTCATTAAAAGCAGCCCATTTACTACTGGAATCTGAAAAGCAATCCAGTTAGAAATCAATTGTAATTTAACTCACCTATTCCATAAATGATTGGGAAGTGAATATCCTTTTCTTCTCTGTCATTTAATTCTGTAAGAAAAAAGTCAAACTTGTAGGGCTTTGGATTTTTTTCTGAGCAGCATTCATTCAGTTGTATGTTATCAGAGAACAGATCTGGTATTGCATGAAGACAGAAGAGAACCAAGGAAGCCCAGGAGAAATATGGAACAGGCGGTACAGGGCAGTACCAACAACCTGCATGGGGCCTGGAGCAGAACTTTCCACCTCCCAGCAGTATGGCCAGCTCCAGACAGCAGTTGCTCCACTTGCCCTACAGGCAATATCCAGGAAAAAAGAAACACAACGGAAAACTACCATGATGCCAGGTTTCAAAGATTTAAGTCACCAACACAGCACTGAAAGGGAAAGATGATGGAAATAAGACCTGAGCGTGATACAAAGAAAAGGAAATTACTTCCTTTGTGTGACATCATAGCCTATGAACTAACCCAAATGAGTTCATGAATTCACTTGACCCTGCAGGGAGGCAGGTCCAAGAACCTGGCAGGTCTAAGGTGCATGCCTTTCTCAGCTGCCTCTTGAGATACCCACGGACATGGAGCCTCACCACCTAAGGTGACATAACCCAGTAATAATCACGGTGATTCTACTATCAGCTAGTACACATGCTGTACTCTCAGCCATATCAGATAGGTATCACAGACTGCATTCAGTACGTGGTAAGGAGACAATCCTTGCTGCATTGTCTGACCACCACACAAACTACCAGCAACAAAACTAAAAATGACAAATGATTATGAGGGACTCGTGCTCTTCTTGGAGGACAGATAAAAAAGCCACATACAAAAAGGCCCCTGCACTTTGACTTTAGAGGCTGAAGAGTCTTTGAAAACCAAGGAAACATTTTCTTACCTGTTACACAGAAGGTCACTAAATGGACATCGTCGGGCTGGAGATCGAATGCTCCTAGAGCAACAAGGAGAGAGCAAGGTGTGAGGGGGCGGGGGCACAGCAGGAGCCGTGTCTAGGCGAGGGGCAGGACCAGTGCTCGCGCAGCGGCAGGGCACGGACACCCAACGCACTGGTCCCAGGAGAGGCAACACAGCAAAAAGCGTTGTGCAGATTTGCTTCAAACTAACTTTTGTAAACTTAAAGCTGCAGCTACTAAACGTAACGGGAATTCACAGAGAGTAGCCAGCTCTAATAGCAAAAACATGCTAAAAAAGTGGTTTGCCACTTACTCCTTTTACTGACACTGGCTTAGCTCTGGCATCACAGCAGCTCTGCTGCAGTTCGCTACCCCTTTAACAACTTATATTTAAATGTATTTTCCTAAAATGTTACATATATAGTAAGGAAACCCAGTCTCTCATTAGCTCTAAATCAATTCTGTTTTTCACCATCCCACACGCTAGAAAAAAATCATTTTTAGAGCTGGAATAGCCATATAGTGTTACTGTTTCAAATTGGAACCTGATGCATCACGATGCATCAGAAGGTTGAAAAAAATAAACAGAATTCTTTATTCTGAACTCTAGTATGACATGTAACACAGATAACAGGAATCACTGTTATGTTATCAGTGGTGCCATGGCCCTGAGGGTGCTTCCCAGGAGCTTCACCCGTTCCATTTCAGTTTTTGTTTATCCCCTTGCCCAGCTCCCTCCAATCCTGAGGTCTGCCCCATCCCAGCCCCCTCCCGGTTCCGTGGGGCTGAGACCTCTCCACCCTCAGGAAGTGCTGAGCACGTGCAGGTGAGCAGGTACTTTACGGTTCCAATCTGTTCATAGAGCGCCGCAATCGCTTCTCTGGACTACAGACTTCATAAACAGACGTAACATCTTTCCTCAGGCAATGCCAAACAGTAGTTAAATTTTACCTCATCACATTAAGCTATGCAATGAATAATAGCTACTGAAGTCACCACACAGAGGTTTAGCCAGTGACAGCACTTGAGCGAGGTCACGCAGCGTATCGGCAGTGGAGCCAGGAATCAAGCCCAGCTGAACCACCCCAGTTCTACACACTAGAATATATGCTGGGAAGAAATGACAAGTGCAGACCCTCCACCCCACACGCTGGCCACACACGAGCCTCGGGAGTCCAACCCCCCTCTCCACAGCAAGTTCTCAGGTAGAGAAAACATGCTTCAGAACTTATCCAGGTTTCTGTCCGTTAAATGACAGGGGGCTCAGATTACAAACAAATTTTACCCAGATCCAGTCAGAACTATTTTTTTTTTTTTTTTTGGACATGAGAGTGGAAAAAACGTGAACTTACTAAGAAGCTGATTAGTAAGTTTTTGTGATAACTGCCTATCATCATTGAAACCTCCAACTAGGTGCACTTCCAGCCTAACAGAGATGGAATAACAGGAAACAGCAATTAAAAAGACATCCCAAAGTGAAGAGCTTTACAAAATAATCCCCAGCCCAAACTGCAAAGCAATCAGTAGAGGCGCCTCATTTGTTACAGTCACATGCACCAAGCTGGTTTGCATTACATAGCAAGTTATGATAATTCTAATCCAAACACTTCAGGGATCACCCAGGAAATAGCACAAACTAAAATCTTTCAGAGCTGTTACATGCATGCAATCCTGTCTCAGCCAGTGGTATCTCCAGTGGTCACCATCTTTGGTTTGGACTGAAATGAACCTTTCAGTTCCCAATAAAGGGTTAATTAGTCATGAACATTTTTGCTCCCATGACCTCCTTGTAACTATTCCGGAGCATAGAGCAGGGTTCTTCTCTGAGAAGTGTCTATGTAAAGACAAGTCTTTATGAATCATGAGATCTTAGAGACTATCTTCTAAGTCAAGTTTTTGTTCTTATTAAACTACAGATGCAAAAACCTATACACACAGGAAGAACCTTGCTGGCTGAATTGTGGTTCAGAGCTTTTTTTTTCCCCTGGTTTCCTGTCCCACTTCACTTTTTCTTTTCTTTTTTTTTTTTTTTTTAATTAAATGTGGGACTTGGGAAAATCCCAGATAGATTCTCCAATCCTAACAGTCTGGAAGGAAAAATGTAACATAAAACCAAAACCAGTTCTTTAGAAAATTTTACACATCTGAAAAAAAAGTTAACTGGGAAACGGTGAACACAGAACTTCACCATGGCATTTTACAGAGACACTACTCAGAACAGAACCAAGCTTTAAACCACTGCTAAAAATACCCTCAAAATTGTCAAGGAAATAATTTTCACTTTACATGTGGTTCCTGATCAAGAGATCTTTTCTGCACAATTACCTTGTTTGAACCCCACAAAATCATGTAAAAAATCCCAACCTTACAAACTGCAGCAACCTTTGCGAAGAGCAGTACACGAGAAATAAGAGCAGAGCTGACCTTCCATACCCCGTGGTGCTGGAGAATGATTTTACTGAGCTCATGATGAGCGAGACCTCAGCTTCTGTGTCCGATCCGTCACAGTGCGTCAGGCAGGTAGCGCCACTGCCTGAGGGGGACAGAATGACACTGCTGGAGGCTGCGACACCACCCGGCTGAAATGCACAACAGTTCATGCTACCTGAGCGGTGCAAGGGCCGCCTCTGCCACCACCTCACCTCCTCGCGGGACAGCGGCCTCCAGCAGATCTGGCCTGACTGAAGGAGGCAATAACCTCTGTGCACCCCATGGCAACATCACCAGAAACCATGTGAAAGGCACCAGTGACCTCCTAAGGAGGGCCAGGTAATGTCTTTAATGCCAGCAAGCCAGGCATGTAGCCAGGGCCTTGCCACAAATTCTAACTGTTATTACCAAACCCTGCAGGCCCAAACTGCTGAACACAGACCAGGTCTGCAAGGGCCACTGCCCACCTGTGACAGGAGCAGATCAAGGTCAGGATCTGCTCATGGAGCAACCAGAACATGGAACCTCTGATACTAAACACACCAACTCTTTGAACGAGTAATTTACTTAATACATAATGGGCCTTCTTGAGATTCAAGTTTATATAAACATAATTGCAGTTCATTTTATTAATGCAGTGTAAACCAACAGTAATTGCTTTGCGGTACAGGTTTTGTTCTGAACCTCCTTTAAAGATACCTGTGTGTCGGAGCACAACTATGTGACAGGTGGTTGCATCTTCCGATCCAAGAATGGAAACAGAGCCTATTTTAAAGGAGATAAACACTGTAAGAACTCCACTCACAATCGCTGCTTCAGTAGAAGAAAAAACATTTATCTATCTTCTTACCATCTTTAGGGGTAGTCACTGCAAACTCTCTCTGCTGGACATATAGAAGACCTTTGGGTTCCACAATTTGAGCAGGCTGACTTCTCAGAAGTTTTGCCTTCTCCTAAAGATAAATGATAACAGAGACTACAGTGTCTAAATTCTCAGGTGTATCCATTACTTGGTAGAAACATTGCCTCTGAAAAGCAAAAGGATCCAGGTCAGAGAGAAACATACACGGTTTTTATTATGGAGTATTTTGCATTTTGAGAAGTTTTCACGTTCCTGACACTGATCTAGTTAATTGTTAAATCCCATCATTCCATAGACACACAAATACCTTTTCCCTGCTTTATAGATGACAAAATGGAGGAACAAAAAAAGCCCAACTGGACTTGGCAAAGATTACATTACACAACACCAGAGCTGATCTTGGAAGCTAATCGGGACAGAAAACCTTTGAACCATAAAAGTTCCAGTCTTTTACCGACACAACTCAGCATGTTTATTTATATGTTTATAGTACTTATCAAAATATCACTACTTATTAGTTCGCTTAGCACATGGAAAGCCCAGATCCCTGCAGTGTAACTGCTGCAGTGCTCTGTTGCAGACCTGCTGGGCAGGTGGTGAATTCCCATCCTGGGGCTCAAAAACCGCTTCAGTTTTACCAGTTAGAGAAAGCAAAATTTCTCTAAGGAAGCATTTTCTGACGATGAAGATCTTCCCCAGGAGCTCCGTTCAGCACTCCCTGGCTCACAAGCCGCCGCTGGGATGACAGCAGGCGTACACGGAAAGCGAGGTCCATACCCGCCTAAAAGTTACTCTCCTGACTTTTACCACCAGTTCCCATTCTTTCTCATGAAAGGGCCTGCGGACGAACCCAGCGCCGGCCGGCAGCTCACGCACACCCGTCTCGGGGCATTTACCGCAGATGCCCGCGGGGCCGCCGGCGTT